GCCTGTCAGGAATAGGATTCTATTCTCCCAGGAGTTGGTGGTTAGGGTTCAGTGAAGTCCTCCCCCAGCCCGCCACATAAAAGGCCGCACCCGCCCGGACAGTACCACCCACCACCAACAACAACAACACCCAACCATGGCCAGCCAACTGCCCCTCACCGCCAGGAAGAGCCTCAAGGATGCCGAGCCCCTGCACGCCGCAGTCATCAAGAAGCTGGAGGACGCCACCGGCACCACCGGCTGGACCTTCGAGGCCGACGGAGCGGCCATCCACGAGGCCCTGAAGAATGACGGCAATCTCGTCGGCAGGGTGATCAACCAGACTCTGACCGGCCTGGTGGACAACATCATCAAGCTGTGCAAGAAGGACGAGATGTACAAGGAGGCCTTCGTCGAAAAGATCACGGCCAAGAAGATCAAGTTCGTCGTCACCAGCGAGGGTACTGCCTACTGCCCCGGCGAGACCTCCTTCCCCGAGGGAGTCCTCTTGGTGACCATTCACAAGGAGAAGCCCTGGGTCAACGTCAACCAGACCGGCAACAAGATCGAGTCCCAGCTCTAAGAAGTCCCCCCGCTCCCTTCTTGCCTTCAGCGTGCATGCAGCAGCATTTACGGAGTTAAGTTCAAAATAGGCCAAATAAATCCAGACACCCCTTTAGCATGGACCTCGTCTTGACATAGTATATATATATATATATGCAAAAAGAAGAAGACCCAACAATTTTCGTTTGATATCCTTACTTTGCGCCTGCGGTGGGCAACTGCAACACGTACACCATGGCCCCATGACGTCGCCTCCAGGTATAGAGTTGAAGTAGTATGCAATGTCGCTCATTTTAGGTCATTTCATGGGATTGGCGTGGCACCTCTTCATGATCTTGACGTATTTGGGGTCGTCGACGTTCGAGGGTACGGCAGGTCTGGCACCGTTGACCACGTACAGTGCCACGTTGGCGGCGGTATTCTCGTTGTAGGGAAGCTTGCGCGTGAGGACCTCCCACATGACGCACACGCATATTCTCGTCGTAGGGCGAGCCTCCCGTTTTGTGGGTGAAGACCTATGGCGCTGTCCAGGCCGATGTCTGCATCACGTTCATCTGCTTGGCCGTCGCGAAGCCAAAGTCCCCACCTTGAGTGCTGGTCGTCGACCAGCATTTTACTCGACTTGATGTTGTGGTGGATGATCCCCCAGGAGTGCAGATAGGTCAGGCCCAGCGCCTCGTCCCTGACCATAGCCACTCGCTTGCTCCATGGCAGATCGATCGTGGACCAGGCCGTCCTCAAGGATGTAGTGGAGTACTTCGTGG